CCGTTGTACATATAAAAAAAAACATAAAAATACCTTTCTTTAAAGTACAATTTTATCTATAAAAATGTGCAAAATATAAAGGAATATTAACATTCTTTTCTACACATCACAGATCGGAGTGATGGATGGTTTTTGGTAGCAAGTCGAATCACTCAAGGGATGTTAGTAGCAGATCAGAGTGCTGAAGAGGTTGTCGACAGTAGGTGGGAGTGTGAGAGTAAAATAGGATGGCGTGGGACGTGGGAAGATGGAACCAAGCAGATGAGGGGACTATGGAAGGATAACTACTTTTGTGGGAGCGAGTTACAGTGGGAGCACCACTCGAACCCTTGGAGAAGATCACCACCTTAGATGAATTACAGCCGGAACACCATCTCACCGTCATATACGACCCTATAAGGGAAGAGGAGGACGTCGACGGCCATCAAGTAAACAACTCAACCTAAAAATAAATCTCAAATAGAGAGTAACACACACACACACATAAATAATAGATACTAGTAGTTAGAATAGATAAAAAATAGAATAGGAAGGAAATAGAAAAAAAACAAGAAATAGAAGTGAAAGGAATAGAAATAGGAAAGGAAGAGAAATATGTAAGGATTAGAAATAGGGAAGGAAAAAAAATACACAAGGAGTAGAAGTAGGAAAGGAATAGGAGAGGATGGAGTTCCCTCTATGGAAGGTTGTATAATAATAAATTGGGCCAGGGCAGGGGCTGAAATTTCAGCCCCTATGAAGGCTGGTTGGTTCAGCTGACGACAAGCAAGCTCCGTATCAGTCACGCACTAGTTGCCCCTCCAAAGGGTCAACCATGATGCATGCAGAGGCAGACCACTCAATCAGAGAAAGTTTTCACCAGCATTCATCCTGAACCAAACAAGTACTACTCAAAATTCTTATTTTCACATTTCTTACAAATTGGCTTTTCTGACTGTGGTTGGTTTTGCTTACCTTCCAATTTATATTTCTTAGATTGGGGGTCTTTTCCCTTGCCGAAAATTTTTCTTTTGCTTGCTTGAGAGTGCCACCGTTGATTGGAAAGCTCCGCTCTGTTTCAATTCTTTGAGCCCTTTCAACTAGTACTGAGAAATCACTGATTTTAAATGGAGCTAAAACTAACATCAACTAATCTCGGAGGCCATGCAAAAAATCGGTGACATTTTTTTCTTTCAAGTGCACAAGGTGTATAATTGGAAAGAGAAGTGAATTCTTCTTTATACTACATAAATTTGTTGGACCCTTGAGTTAAGTTAAAAAATTTATCTTGTAGTACTAATCTGGCTGAAGGTGAAATAAACCAGTCCTTTAAAACTCTAGCAAATGCTTCCCACTAAATCTTTGGAAGAGGTGTCAGTCCAAATTTCTTTCTGTGTTGTGGCTTGCATCATCTCTCTGACTCAACTTTTAATATGAAAGAAACTAGTACCACTTTCCTATTCTCAAAATAAATCATGCCATCTATAATCATTTTTATCTTCAATAACAAATCATCAGCAACTGTATGCTCACTGACACCTTTAAATGCAAGTGGCTTAAATATCTGTAAGATATTCAAATGCTGATTAACTTTTGCACCATATTCAGATCTGGACTCCATATTGGTAGATCATTCAATAGTTGCCATTTTACCGACCGCTTGAGATATAAACTGAACAATCCCTGTAACTCAGTGGCCCTAGTTTTTTCTTTTATCATATTTTGAGGATCATTTATGTTCGAGTTATTTCCAGATTATAGTTTTTGCTTTGTAATTGGCCCAGAAGGTTGACTCTTCGTTTCTTTAGATTGTTCTTCAGTCATATTTATCTATATTGGCCTAATTAATTATTCAATGCAATTTCTCAAATAATAATTATGCAATGCATGCATTATACCTCAAGTCATATGAGTTACCCATCCCAAATTCAGTTAACCTATAGCTCTGTATAAATCAATTTATATTTTAATCTCATTCTTCTAAATTCAAACATGCTTCTATCATTATTTTCATCCAATCTTGGCTCTAATATCGCTTTCTATAATACTTTAGGGTCAATCGTGGCATGTCAGAGGCAGACCACTCAGTCAAACAAAATTTTCACCAGCACTCTTCCTGATTTGCACGATAAGGACTCAGTGGATAATAAGTTAGTCTAACTAAATCGTCATAAACATTCATAATTCATTTTAATTTACATTCTCATATTCTTGGAAGCGTGCAAAATTATATTCCCAATTTATATATAAAGCCGCTAAAATAATCCAACCTAATGAAAAAGTAAGTAACCAAAAGTCTTTATAACTTCTAAAAGTATATAATGCAAAAACTATAAAATATCACGCTTGATTGATCATCTCTGCGCTCTTTATCCCTTTCTTAAAGTTTAAAATATATTGGAGTGAGTTACAAAGTCAACAAAAAAACAGGGTTAAAGTAAGATTTATAGACAAAACAACTTGTATGCATGATAAAATCCATAAAATAAACATGTTTAAACCATGTGAGACATTCAAGGCAAGGGCATGATGTGCAGCAAATAGTAACCACAAAAAAATTCATATATTGATTTATTCCTGTGCCATCATAGGAATATCCATAATGATTTCATAGTCAATAATTGTACTATTAGGAATGTCATTTGTAATTGCATAAATTTTAAATACATTCATTTCATATCATTGAGTCGTCACCCAACTCATAGTCTGAAATAACTATTGATAAAAATTGGATCCTTTTCAACATAGCAGTTGTTAATTATTTAAAATATTTTAATTATTTAAAATAGAATTTTCTAAGTCATTATAAGTTTGTTCAAGCTCTTAAAATTTGAATCATTTTCAACGAAGGTCAGCAACGTGCAGGAGGGTGAAATAAGAAGTTAAGCAGAAAGAAAAAAAGGGGAAATTAAGTGGCGGGCAAGTCTCTCCTTTCGTTAGGGCAAGCTGGTCCAACAGTGTTGTACTGCACAGTGTCAATTCAGCCGGCCCCCCATTTCCAGCCTTGCGTCAAAAGGACTCTCTAAGATCTTTTTCTTTGTAAACAAGCACAAAATCACTATTCATAAAAGAATAAAAACCTACGATCCCGAATTAAAATCGATTTATGAGAAAATATCCCAAAAATCCTAAAAATCTTGACTCTTATCATATCCACTTTTTCTTTCTTCCTTCTCTTTTCTCCTCTTCTTCTCTCTCTTCCCCTCTTCTTCTCTCTTCCCCTCTTCTGCTTTTCATCTCTGCTCCCTAATTTCCTTCTCCCACCCCGACCTGCTCTCTTTTACGGTAAATATGGCTTTGGCAAAACTAAGGGTAGAGAAATGGGAAATAATGTAATAACGTATGAATGTGTCTATTTATATAATTATAATAATACCTTATATGAAACAAAACTTCTGAACCAACCTTTTTTACATCCGCCTATGCTTCTACTACAAAGTGGTATTTTGTATTGCCACAAAAACTACAGTAACTAAACTGTTAATTTAATTTAAAACTTAGTATTCAATAGCTTTCACATCTTTGAGAATTTTTAGGTTTCTATATCAAATTGATCAATTCCAATAATACAATGTATTGGTATAATTCTTGATGATTTTTGAGAAAGATTTTATATAATCTCCCTGTCACTAGTCTTGGCTTTAGTTCTATGCTCGGAAGTTGGGAGTATCTCCACTAGTTTTAAGGTTGTGAGGTTGTTCTGTGCATATACAATCTCAACGGGACTGAAACATGAATTTGTTGGTGGAACAGTTGTAAGAAAACTCAACTTGCAATAGGATCAGGTCTCTCTGTCTGATTGTCATGATCACAAAAAGTTAATGAGTTACCTTAACTAAGATTCACTATTTTTGTTCTGTTTAAAGGTGAGCTGCCGAATTGAATTGAAGTTGTGTCAATCAATAACAATCAATAGCATGCAAAAACAAAATAGGAAGCAATCAATAGCATGCATAAGCAATTTATCGTAATCAATCTTTTATTAAACAGCAGTCCCAAAATTTTGGAAAAGAGTGCCAGGCTATCTTTTTTAATCCTTTAAAGAGCACAAGGGTGTTAGGTAACCTAGTGCGTTTCTGCAAGAACTTGCAGTTGCACTTTCAACACTTTTCTATGTTGGCTTCTCAGAAATGATTTTCACGGGAGCGCAAGAAGGCTCTTGAAAAGTGCCATAAGGGAAGAAAAATGCTGTAAAGTATTCTAGAATATAGAAGTTTGTAGTTATTTGAAGTTAGAAATGCAGAAGTAGTAGAAATTTGTTGAAATCCAATGCAAAAAGCTTCCAATCATTTTCGTATGATACTAAATTGATGCAGACCAGGTAGCTTTAATGTTGTAACATAAAGCTTTAGAATAGGAAAGAAATAAAAATAAAGGAAATTGTAACTTGCACAACAAATCCTGAAGATATTGATGTTGATTCATAAAAAAATCAGGTTGCTATATCCTCAAACAAATCCTCAAGAACAATGGCTTAAATTTTCTATTCAGTACTATTTGAATTTCATGATCCTATGATTTACTTTAATAACAGGCCTTATTCAAAATTAATAAAACTACATTTAAAGATAACCAACCCAATCCTCAGTGATATAAAACACTTAAACAACTACTAATTAACTTGACACATAAAATTGAGCAAACCATGAGATAATATGTGCCAATAGCCATATGATTAGCATAAAATAATGAGCATCCTCTATGCCATTATGTTGTTTATTCTATGTAATTCTTTCTACTTTAGTCTCCAAATTTTATACAAAGCGATTTGTACTTCTTTTTGTTTCTATTAAGGATGCGACCTAAAGGCTTCGAAAAGTTTTACTTTGGTGCTTTCTGTTGTGAATTCCCAAACTAAAAGTGGAATCATACGTTGAGAACTGAGTTAGAATTCCGTTCTAGATGCATCATCTTTGTAAAAGTGTTTGAAATTTTGTTGTGTGAAACAATGTTTATAGAAATCAATCATACAATTTAGCAATGTTTATAAAAGTCAATCATACGATTTAAAATAACTGCAGGTGGCTGCTAACATGCTTCATTTGGGAAGAATCACATTGCTCAAATCCAATCAACTTAGGCAGATGCAACCATGCGATGCAAGAAGTGAACTCGAGAAAGCAAAATTTCTTGCAGATAACTCAATTAGGTACATTAAGTGGGGTTTTTATTTTTTATTTTTTTGTTTATGTTAATAGATGGATATGATGAGAAACAAATTTTGCTGTGCTTATTCCCTTGTTTTTATTTTCTTTGTTTAGTTTTCTACTCCATTGTCACACTGCAATTGGTACTCAAGAGTCGGTTGCGGTGCGACGGAGGCAGACGATTCGGTCATGCTAAATTCTCACTAACACTAATTTTTACTTGTAGAATCAAGACTCAGTGGGTGATAAACTAATCTAACTAACTTGCCGCAAATATACTAGATAGATTTCATTTCATAATTTATTCATATGCATATACTTGGAAGTGTGGAAAATCATATTACCAAAGAATATATATTTATACATGACTGCTAAATCTAACATAATAAAAGTACCCAAAAGTTTGTATAGACTATCAAAATTATGAAATACAAAAGCTATACAAGTCACACTTGACTACTCTTCTTGGTGCTCTTTACCCATTCTTAAAAAAACAAAGTACACGCTCATATGTAATCCATGTGCATGTTCACAACATATAACACAACATATTATAAATGTATAAAACATGAAAAGAAAGGACATGTAATGCAGGAAATCATGACCGCTGTGTAAAACATGTATTTCATATTTTCATGAGTAATCTTAAGCATTTAATCATAAAAATGTTCATAAAGAGTCATCAATCTAATCATCTGAATTCACTTGTAATTTTATATATTCCAAATATTTTAATATTATGTCATATCATTGGATCGTCATCTTGCCTGAATGCTATATTAACTGAAGATAACGGTTGTTGCCCCCCCAAAATAAAAATAAATACCAGCCCCCCAAGTTCCAACGGTTGCATACATTTGGTCGTCATCTGATCTCAACGGTTTTCAGAGTTTCGTCACTGTCTGAATATCAAGAGTCGAGAATCCTATTATTCTTTATTATCCATACTTGCAGGTATTCATGTAATAGCGTACTTTTAACATCACTTGTGACATATTTTAAACATAATTCTTATAACAAACATTCATCATGACATTTCATATAATATTTATGAAACATAACAAATAAATACCTGCAATTAATGATTTTATAAGTATATTCATCAGATTCAAATCATAGTAAAAATCATGTGCGTAAGGGGCAAATCAAGTGTGCATTTATATAGTGTTTTCATTCTCATTACACAAGAAATTCTGAATGGAGTGTCAAACACACAATCACAAGGAAACCTATGAAAATTTATCTTTCTCAAGTGAACACATGGTTATTCAACCTGAAGTGACTGAACACTCCTATGATAAGTTTTTCTAAGCTCTCGAGCTCACCACCTGGTGTAAACAACTCTAATTCATACAACTTTAGGATTTCATAAAAGTTTATCTAATTTTGTGATTTAACTATCAAAATAATTCATTTATGAATTGTTACTTTAAACAGATTTCTCTGCTTGACTAGCTCTTCTTCGAGACTGCCTATTATTTTTCTCTCTTCCTCTTCTCACTTTAATGGCCCTTATGGAAGCTGCCAAACTAATCTCATCGTCTCGGACACAAGTTTGGCTCTGCTATAGTTACCAAAAATGAAATATTATACTAATTCGTGGCAACATAAATATTAAAACTTAAATAACTAAACGAGTGTCACAAATAGTACCGACCAATTTCGTCTTGGATCCTTAAAATGCTATTTGTGGCACTCTACCGTTGTACATCCCGCTTTTTGCATGACTTGTTACAAGTAACGAGCGTATGATCTCGCATGAAGGAGAATTGTGAGGAGGGGAAGGAGAAATGAAATGGAGTGTGGTATATAATTTGATCCTATTTAATCTTAGCCGTTCAGTTGGATCCAGCCAATGCATGTCGAGTAAGGTGCGGCCGTGAAATTACTACAGTGCCTCTGTAAGGTTAGGAAGATTAATTAAGTTTTATTAAGGTATTAATAAAATATTTCAAAACTTCATATCTTCACATATGCTTACAATTTAATGTATAATGCTATATATCAAATTGATCGATTTGACATATATAATTTTATTAAATTGATTCAGTTAAATTTTAGGAGATGACGAAATTGAAGGGACATTTTAAATTTGACAAAATTCTACCTAGTTTACCAAATTTTGAGTGTTATTGTAACGCCCAAAATTTGAAAAATCAGGTAAAGTCCGACAAATTTTAAAAGTACCCTAAATTTTACCTCTCCTGAAATTCAATTAAATTATTTGCGCATGAAAATGATCAATTCTATATAAAGTACTATATATGAATTTTGTTTGGAATCGAAGATACAAATTTCGGATGTTATACGTTTATTAAATTAATTAAACTTTAACTAATCCTAATCCTATCATAATCCCGTCTCTCCACATTAACCAACCAATTCCCACACACGTCTCTCGGCATGCAATTGTTTGATTCAATTGAACGACTATTGATTAAAGCAAGATCACTTAAGTGTTGCATTTTTTTGACGTCTCCTTGACTCTGTTTCGCTCGATAGAGGGGAACCTGTGACCTTCCACTATAGCAGGCGGGAATCGACAGGCAGCTTGGGGCTCAAGGGTGCAATCCAGGTTTCCGGGTATTTTTTGATGTATGATTCTTTCTTTCATGCTATCGGTGATTTTTAATTCCTCTTGCTTCTATTTTAATATTTGCCTTAATTTTTTACATTTTTTCATTTTCGGTAGACGCCGGAGTCAGAAGTGATTTGCGAGCTTTCTTAAGGGCTTTAGCACAAAATCCGTAAAGGGAAAGAGCAGATTTAAAGGGCAAGAGAAGATTTAGGTGTTAGAAAGAGTTGGAGAGAAATATAGACGTGTCAGAGAGATTTATGATTAAATCACGATGCGAGCTGGAGTTTTTGAAATCTCGTGATGTTTATGATTCCCAGGTTGTTTATATGAGGCGGAGAGCTTGACATGAGCGTGTGGGAACAAATCGTAGGGCTGCTCCGTCAAGCCAAGTGAAATAATACTGTGTTAATTTAAAAAATAATCTTCGGTATGTTTTTTGTGATTATGTTTTATGTCATTATGTATTCGAAACTGATGCATTTAAAATTCTTGTATATTGTAGATGAGTACTTGCTTGGAATATATGAATGCTAATTGATTTATCTTATGATTCATGTGATATTGCTATGTTATGATACACATGACTATGCTTATGGAGTAATTGTCTTTAGATATTCGTTTGTTTTTTATTCATACATGTGATATATGAAATGCGTATGATTGTTTGCTTCGGGTATTATGCTTTAAGAAATATCACTAGAAATATTATGGCTAGGCTATTCCATGAGTGTTTACATGTACGCTGAACAGGGATAAGGTATTCTCGACTCTTAGTGTTGAGGCGACGATAAAATTCTGGAACTATTTTGATCAGACAGTGACAAAATATCAGAAATCGTTGGTATCAAGGGGGCTATTGATATTTGCTTTGTTGGGAAGGTCTAATATTTATCAATAGTTTATATAGCCTTTGGAATAAGGTGAAGACTCATGATATGACATGACATGAAAATTTTTGAGGCCTATATATTTATAAGTGCATTTATTATAACATGAAAATGCTATGATTACATAAGATAAGCAACTTATGAACATTATTATGAACATGTTTTTGATTATACTTATAATTTCATACTTACGACTATTCATGTTTTACATAGCAAACTTGATTTATAAACTAGCTGCTTTCTTTTCATGTCTTATAAGTTTTAACATATTGTTACTTATGTGTAGAAATATATCGTTTCATATGAGCATGCACGTTTTTTTTGTATATAAAATTTTATTTTAGATTTGATTATTTTTTTGAGCTCGTTGTTGCTTTCCGGTTAGGGGCAACGAGCACCGAGGAATGTAGCTAGAAGTTATTTGTATAATTTTGAACTGTATGTTTTGGGAGTTTGTACAACTTTTTAATACGTATTCTATTTATTTTGGATTTAGCAGTTTTGTATAATTTATACATTATGAGGTTATGATTTTTCATGTTTTTGAGTATGAATTTGAATGTATTATGAAATGCAATTTATCACGTATGTTTATGACGATTTAGTTTGACTAGTTTATCAGCCTATGGATCCTGATTCTGCAAGTCAGGACAAATGTTGGTGAGAATTTAGTTTGACTGAATTGTATGCCTCTGTTAAATCTCGGCTGACCATTAAAGGGGGGCCAGTTGGGGTGTGACAATTACAACTCTTCCCTCATAAAAAATTTGCCCTCAAAATATCTGAGTTCACTTGAATAGTGAGGGATATAATTGTCACATTTCTTTATTTTCAAATCAGTGTTTCCACTTTGTCTTGACAATTGGAATCTGCTTATTTCCTAGCTTCTTAATATTAGTTTCTAAAATGCTTTTAGGCGCTTCAATATAAGTAAGACTTTTCTGCACTTTAATGTTTTTGTGTGAAATTTTCTATTATGAATTCGAAACTCAAATTCTCAGGATTGAGATCCGAAACACATCATAAATATCTTACATATCAGCAGGTAAACTTGTCTGTAAGCAACTGAAGTCATCATTTCTATAATATATCGAAATGATCGATGTACCTGAGACCAACTTGCTTCCCTGATCAAATCTGAATGTATCTTTATTGGCTTGACTTTAGACATACAAAATTACCAATTTCAATTTTTTCTGCTTTGTGCGTTGTTCATGATATTTTGCTGCCGATCCTGAGTAGCATTCAAATTGTCTCTGATAAATCTGACATTTGACGTTCAACTACTCCAATCCAACTTAATAGAGTTCTGCATTCCCTGTCATACAGTGTTTCATAAGGAGCCATTTTGATACTGGACTGATAGCTATTTTTGTAGGCAAACTCGATCATTGTAATGCGATATTCTCAATTGCCTCTGAAATTAAGAACACAAAACCTCAACAAATTTTTCAATACTTAAATTATCTCTTTTGATTTTTTTGTCGATCTGTGGATGAAATATTTTGCTAAAATATAAATATGTACTCAAGTTTTA